TATATACTCCATGAATATAGATAAAAGTGTAAGTTGAGGGCTTTCGTCTTTTAAAATGTACCCTATTACATGGGTGAGTTGCTCGCATTTAGCTGGACTGCCGAAATATATATATATATATAGTACAACGAACTAAATAAATTGTAGCTACTTTGATAAACAGGACATAGTGTAGGGTTCGTTCAGAAGGAGTGATGTAGTGGCAGTGGATGGATGCACATGCTACATACGCAAATCTTGCACACAATATATCACATGTTAATGCAAGTATGACACTTAAAGCAACCACAGACTAATGCACACGTGCACCTCAACAGATGGGGCGGACAAACACACTGCACCACACACAGCAACACAAACACAAACACTCCCTCACACACACACACAAACACATCCTCACACACACACACAAACACATCCTCACACACACACACAAACACATACACCCTCACACACGTGCACACAAACATACACACACTCTCACACGCACGCACATACAAACACACTCTCTCGCACACACACACACGCATAAGCCACCTACTGTCTATATTCTGGACCAGTTCACGAATGGCGATATCCAAGAGAGACTCCAGCTTAGCAACATACTTCGGCTTCACCTTCTGCTGTGCAGAGAAACCTTTTGCTCTCTTACTTGTGTCATTGGCCGCAGCCACAGGATCGTCGAAGCTCATGAAGTGGTCTGTGTGTGAATGGTGGGAATGTGTGTGTAGTGTTAGTATGTGCATAGTTTAATGGTGTTTGTAGTGTTAGTGTATGTATAGTATGAATATGTCTGTAGTGATAGTGTGTGAATAGTATGTCTGTAGTGCTAGTGTGTGAATAGTAGGAATTTTTGTGTAAGTATGTGTACAGTATAAATGCGTTTGTAGTGTTAGTGTGTGTATAGCATTAATGTGTGCAAACCTGTATACAAGAACACGACACACGTGTGCAAATGTATACGTATATACTAAATTAACGCATTCAAGCACAGTGCCACTGATCATCAATCCATGCCTTACGACGCTACTGCCCTCTCTGATTTTGGTACCGAACTTTCACGAAGATCACTCGAAACACAGGCACACACATATATATACATACAGGTACTTGTAAACTATGCAGACAAACATGAGCACACCTGTTGCCATGCATGTCTAGTACATATACATACAGCCGAACGCACAAGGGGCGATTTCGAACATATATTGTATTCATACATACATATACGCACATATA